AGAGAAATATATCCTCCAATATCAATAAGATGCTAGTGACAATGAGTAACAGTAAGTACTAATCCAGTGTGACCGTAATTTCCAGGTCACGGTTGGGTTGGCATGTAAATTTCGATTGGATGAGAAACAACAGTAAATATGACTTGCAACTATACAGTTATTCAGTCTTATGGATTTCAGAACGATATCGACAACAGCTTTATGACAAGAAGACGAAGGATACGTTGAATAGTTAAGGTATGTTCATAAAATGATCAGTTGGAAATGTTTAGTTTGGTATGTGTAAGTAGGCACAAACAATGGATGTTTTGTTCATTCCTGTTGAACAAATACTTCATTTCGTATGTACATGTTTATTGACAGATACAGGTTGATCGATACGTTTGTAATTCTGAATTAGCACAGTCAATCGGAAAACATAAGAAAAAGGTATCACTGATCTGACCAATACCATTGATAATTATTTTCTCTTTCCTATTGATTAGTTCAAACAAATGGTATTGGTTAAACAGAGCACCTATTGTTTACTGATTACCTGATTTAAGGATGGAGATTATGAATTGTTGGTAGAAGTATATGTGTGTATAATTTGTTACCAATATAGTATTTGTCATAGTGCAGATGTTGGTGGTTTTCATGGAGTTTTGTCCTCTGGGCTGGATGGTTTGGTCGTGGAGTTTTCATCGTTCTTCTGAACGACATCACCAGCGCAAAAGTCAGATAGACTTCTGTCTGAGCTACAAATCCCCACCATCTCAAGATGTTGGTAGTATTGTGCTTCTGTTTGATGTATGTGAGTTGGTAATGTGAAGTATACGTTAGTATCCATTATTAATATTATTTCACTCTTATACAGTTTACATTTTCTAACTCTTCACAACCTCATTGCTATTGTGTGGTAAATAAGTATTTGAAGCTCCCTTCATTCTAAGTATAGCGGATAAAGGAAGGGATTTGAAATTATTGGTTATCGGTGTTCATATTCAATTACAATTGGATACAGCATCAGATATCACGTTATTCTCTAAAATGACATGGAATATAAAGGGTTGTTTATACGTATTATCAACCGAGTACACAGTTCGGAATGCGTCCAGAGACATATTAAAGCGTTTTGGAATCATAAAATGCTCTGTTGAATTCAGAGATAGCTACTTTACAGGAAATTGTCACTTAACAAAAAAACATGATTTGAACCTTATTGGCATAGATTAGATAAACATACTGAATCTATGGGATGTACCATTGACTGAATTATTTACAATGAAAAGCTCAAATAGTCCTAGAGATCTGTCTATCGTTCATGTAACTAAAAAAACCATAACGAGAAGACCTTTTCAGGAAACATAAAATAGTTCCGAAACAAGTTGGAGCACTGCGCAATCGGGAAGGTAAAATCATACTTACGACAAGATGTGAATCCTGTTTTCATCAAATAATGGGTACTATGATATGCAACCTGGAAAATGTAGCAGTTTATCTGGATGACATATAGTTGTTAATTCTACTGTTCAGGAGCTAATGAATCTGTTGGACGTTGTGCTTACTAAAATATCGCAGACTGGTTTCTATTTCCAAAAAGAAAAGTCCGAATTCTAGCTCGAGCCTGTTAGATAACGTGAACATATATTTGATAAGAATGGTCATCACCCAGATGCAGATAGTATCAACGCTGTCAAAGACATGCCTAGATTGACAGATGTTACAATGCTGAGTTGATTTCTGGGAATGACTAAATATTATTGTATTTTGTATTTTATATAGATATATTACGACACCCATTAAATCAATCTTTGATGGCTAACGCTAGTGGTAATGACAAGAGAATTTCATGGGTTGGTGAAAATCTGGAAGACTGGAACTGTAATACGCACAGAAGGAAGGTCATTTATGAAGTCGGAGAAATGACGACTGGACAAGAGGGGAGACTGAAAATGATATATACACGTGGTTATACCCCTAAACATACTAACTAAATTGGATGAGGAAATTAAAAAGGACCCAGGAAATAAGTACGAGTTGACAACATGTCCAAGATGACTGTAGCGCATCTGATGGAAACCTAGTAGTAGGTCAAATGAAGGCTTATGATATATATATATATATATATATATATATATATATATATATATATATATATATATATATATATATATATATATATATATATATATATATATATATCTATATATATCATAAGCCTTCATTTGACCTATCGACTACTACTATACGATTTACCATTTTTACATTATGCCTAAGCTATTGGCTACAGTTCCCATACAGCCACTTCTGTATTGATTTTGTGGTGTCGGTTACTATGTCAAGCCCATGTAACTTATTATAGCTTCTGGACAGTTCAATTTATCCATCCTTCTAGAGTCACGTTTCAATATTGTTGATTATTCACTTACCAACTCTGATTGTTTCTATGTGAGCGTATGTGTGTGTAGCCTTCTTATCCTACTCATCATATGTCTGTGACTATAAATATTGATTACCGCTTGATTGAATGGAGTTGGCTCACACGCCATTTCCATTGCGCGTCCTTTCGTTTCGCTTCGCTATCTCTTCTTCGCTTCATTCGCTGCGATTCTCTGATTGCCTGTTTCGACCAATGAGTGTACAAAATATATGTATTCAGAAATCCATTCTCGTATTTGATTTATTCAATTCCGTTATTCACTAACGCGATTTGAGTCGTTAACTATGTACGAGGATTGATGATATTTATATTTCAATCAAACATATGATATAACTGGAATCAGATCCCGAGTCTATAAAATCTTCTATAGTTTCTATTTTTTTTTATTTCATGGTGAAATTCGGTCTGGTGTACTTGTATATAAACAGCGTATGTTCGAAATATACGATTAATATAGTGAAGGTTGATATTGTGTTCTGGACTGAACAATCAAGGCAAACAAGGTGAAGCGAGAAGCTACTATATCGAGGACCAATGAAGAACAAGAGTTGACTCAAGACTACTGGTACTAGTTGGCATATCATTTATTAGCTCAGGTATAAAAATAAGAAATCGATGTTGTGATTGGGATTTCGTCACATGATGTTTGAAAAGGATATAAGTCATGAAAAGTGGCGATTAGGACTTTTAGGTAAAAGAAATAATAATAGTAGTTAATGCGAAGAATAACACATTTTCGATACATTCTCAAGTAAACTTAATTCATCGAATTTTCGGTCGATCACTACAAAACACTATCCAGTAATATCATTCACATCACGAAGCAGTAGACATCGAAATGTATCGTACGAAAGTTCTCCATTCGTCACTCAACCACTTAAAGTGTTCATTTACAATTCACTCATTCCTATCGACCTCGATGATACTAAAAGATTTCTAGTTGTTTAGATTACTTTGGTGACCATATCACATTGTGGCAGTCTATATTTCCATATTGACTGATGTTCACTCTCAACTCCGATCATTGTCTTGAATGAATTTTTTCGATATGACGTCACACTGATCCATCATCTGTAGATGTCTGTTGCGTTCTGAGCTAGGTTAACTTTGTACCTCATAGATCGGCATTTTAATCACTGACTGTCAAAAAATATCAGTCGGAAGTCAATTTCAGAACATTGAGAGAAACACTATGTTACATTTGACTAAAGGATTATGTTTGTGATTTTCAACAAACAGCTTCTAATATCTCTGAAATCTTGGTTAACAAACCTGTACTTTTCTATACTGACTAGACGAACAATCATTGACTTGATAATTGTGCACTGTTTCATGAACAAATAACCTTCAGAACTTTGCATGCATCGCATCAGCTGATTAATATCAATTGTTTAGGATAAGATATTTGACTTCATCCTTAGCTTGTACTTCAATCTCCTCACACTATGAAGATGTACAGTATTTTCTTTGAGAATATACATTACATGTGAACAATACTTGCTCAATCGTTGAGCTATAAACGACTTCTTATGTATAAAAAGGTGTCTTTCAAGTGCTGGATAAGAACTATTAAGGAGTCACATAATAGAATGGATCGAATAATCAACTCTTCTTGATTATTAATGATTATCTATCCAAAAACAGCCGTTGGTGTGAAACTTAACAATCTGTAAACTACCCTCTCGTATATATACTGCAATGAATACAAGTTGAAGATATGTTACATATTATGTAACAAATTATGAACAGTATAACCAAAACCAAAGCACAAGGCGGTGAGACTATAATTTATGAACGAACCAATTATGTATAAGATAAAAGGTCTCAGATTTTGGCGCGAAATTCATTCATCCATTTGGATAAATTATGTTTTAGCATTATAACAACTGATGTCAGTTCGTGATGAAAACTTTAAATCTTAATTCTTAATCCTAACTATCAACTGGAAATCATAATTCTAATCCCCTACAATGTTTCATAACTCTAATTTGGTTAAAGTTATTAGATGGACATTGTCAAGTTATTTTTAGCGTCGTTCAAAGGTCGTCCATAAATTACTATAGTCTCACTCGCAAAGCATATAAATTTTCGTATATAGCACAACATAATAATTATCATCACAATGGGTTTTGTGGAGATTTTCTAGAAACGTCACTGGATGAAAACATGAGTCAACTGAAGCTAGACCACCATGGAAAACCTAGAAGCACTGAACGGCCATCCCGTCCTAGTATGGGACCCCTCAGCAGTGAGAATCCACGATCTCGGCCCCTGCGAGATTCGAACCCAGGACCTATCAGTCTCGCGCCAGGCGCCTAATCAACTAGACCACTGAGCCGGCTACCATCCAACGGTGTTAATGTCTAACTTCAAACAATACACGAACTTACGTCCTGGGTTCGAATTTCGCGGGGTTTGGGATCGGGGATGCGCGCTACTGAGGAGTTCCATACTAGGACGAAACGGCCGTCCAGTGCTTCCAGGTTTTGAATAGTGGTCTAGCTTCAATTGACTCATGATTTCAACCAGTAAAATAATTATTATCATTTAGAATACTAAATATCAAAATATCACGAATACAATATCACGGTCATTATATTAAATAAACACCATAGCAACTCATTTGTTCATTAGTTTATTGTTTGAAAGATTAATGTAGTGATTTAAAACAAAATAAACCATGAAAAGGATTATTCAATAGTCATTTACAATATATTCATACTACTTATTTATAAATAAATAGTATAGAAAACATTAAAAATTATCTTACAAATTAAGTATGGAGTTGAATAAGTTAACAAGAAAAGAATATACTACTTAAATAAGTTTATTCATTTACATGAAGAATACCTGCATTGATAGCTTCATTCATAAGTTGATCAAGTGTTCTATAATGTGCAAAAATAAAACAAGAAAAAGACAATTTCAGTATAAGGAGATTTGTGGAGGAGATAGTAGGAATTTCATAGTTGAATTCATAAGCCGATCTAAAGGAGACAAATATTGAAAACCTGGAAGTATTGGATAGGTGTTTCGTTCTAGTATAGGACTACTCGGTAGTGTGCATGTGACCGAAGGTCCTGGGTCCAAGTCCCACATATGGGATCATAGATGTGCACTGATGAGGATTTTCATATTAGGACGAAACAACAGTTCAAGGCTTCCAGGTTTTCCGATGGTTATCTAGTGAATTACACTATGAAGAAAGTATTTCTTTGAACATATACGATATATGTATATATTGAGGAAGGGATTGTTAATCGAGAAGCCTACCTGGAGTAGTCAAAATCTGATTTTCTAAATTCGTGAGTCGTGTGTGAATGTAGCGTTTTAAATGGCTGATTTATGAGAAAACATCAAACAAAATCTAGATACTTACTATGCATTTTCTCTTCGAATTCGCCAGTAAACACAGGAATAAAGCGTAGCTTACCTTTGTTTTGTTTTCAATAGTTAAGCTTAAGGATCAACGATCGTTAGGAGAGAAGTGTTAGATGGAGTTTTGTTCTCTGAGCTAGATGGTTTGGTCATGGAGCTTTCATCGTTCTTCTGAACGACATCATATCAGCACAAACTTCAGGTAGAAGTGTTAGATCAGTTAAAGAGCTCTTTGTGTTTCATTTATTCATCGTGTTAACTCTTGAGCTCAATGTTTCGATTTGTATGATTAGGGGTAGTCTCTAAAAAGCCCTGAAACTTATAAGCAAATTGTATTGGTGATCATGAGGGAATTCACAGACTCTCATGTTGTGCCAACCTCTCACAGTTTGTAAATATACACTTTGCTTACGAGCGTCGATAAGTACAAGGTTTAGATCAATTAATCGCATTTGACGGCTCAAATATTATTAATTACACAAAACTACAATTCAGAAACACAAATGAATGTATAAACACATCAAACTATAAACAGCTGGTTTACACGGTACGCGTAGCGCGTAAAATATTACAAACAACGCATATCATCTAGACCGATGAACTGGCATCCAATGTTGCACAAGTCTAACTTGTGAGAAAAATACCCGTCTAAAACAATGGAAGAGAATTGCACAAAATGGTGAATTGATTAAAGTCAGACTTGCACACCACTGGATCCCTACCCAGTGGTCTAGAGGTTAAGAATTTGCATGAGAGATTGAAGGTCCTGGGTTCGACTTTCAATCGTGGTGCCACAAATCGTCACTGCTGAAAAGTCTCATATTAGGAGGAAACGGCGGTTTGGTGCTTCCATGTTTTCAATAGTTTTCTAATTCGGATCAATTTATGATCTCAATAAAAATAGATAATCTCCACAAACATATATATATATATATATATATATATATATATATATATATATACACCTGTCATAGGAATAACATTTTTCGTAAGGGTAAAGATAATATGAGCCAGTTCAATCATTGATTACTAAGTGTACAACACGATGTAATTTGACAAAACCACGAATAGTGCTGCTAACCTTCTATATTGTCCGGACATTCCATATTATTCCTCTGGTTGCCAGAAAGGGCATCAACACCATAAATCCCAAAGAATCCCGACTTTCACCAGGAATTGTCATAACTTTTTTTAAATGAAGATCTTTCAACTCTTAGGGATAGAGTTGACAATTTTCAGCGAAGTTCTCTTTTATGGGATGACGTTGCTAACCTCATACCTAATCCACCCTCTTTCACCTGGGCTAAGGACCAGCAGTAACCTGAGAAAAGCTCCAGGTGCAGTTCAGTTAGTCAATCGCAGTAAACGTAGAATGTGGAACACAAATACATCCATTAATGTTACCACCTCCATTAGCACGATGAGATGAAATTATCAGGGTGAATTCAAGAGCAGCAGATGTGGTAACAGTATTAGTGATAATAGAAAAGACTAGGCATTGACGATACAATTTGAGGAGAAAATATGGATGGGTGTGATGAAGAAGAATTTATAAGGTGACTAAGAAAATTAGGATCTAAGGGAAAACAAAGAGCTAATGCATTCACTTCGACATTTTATCTCTAAAACAATGTCTATGATCGAAGTTATGGAAAGCTGACAGCTCTGACGAACATTACTTGAAGTTATAAGTTCCAGTGATAGTTTTCCATAAAGCTCTGACTCAATCAGTAGTGTTCCAGAATATATATGTGTTCGAGATAGTTAGTGTCAAACTCTGGATATAAATACATCTACAATCATGAAGGAACTGACACTACCCTATAACATTCGAACCTGTTTGGCGTTCAGTATGCAAGTCTAGAATGATAAGATACAACTATTTATTAGTTTTCACAACAGTAGATAAACAAATAAATTACTTGCGTAATTGAATAGTTCTATTCCGTTCCGCTTCAAATTTGTCCTTAATTACACGTGCCATAACCCGAGGCAAATTCCATAGACTAGGATTAATACCAACTAATTGATGCTGATATAGTTCTTCCCAAATATCCTTCAAAAAATTGAACAGACAGGTCAAATAGTCATTTATAAAGCCTTTCGGACGAGAAAGAGAGAATATTACAAAGAAAAAATGTGCTGCTAAATAATCTACACAACTCAACATAACCAAAAACCAATTAATAGGATACTTCACTGGAACTGCAGCAATTTCGATGACTCTCCCGGTCTCCACATTGTACGAGCATTCCATATACCTACATTAATAGTTGCTCTGGTTGTCAGAAGGAGCATCAGCCTCGTGACTTCCGAAGGAACTCGGCTTTCACCATGAGGCGTCATAATTCTTCTAAATGAAGACCCCTAACACCTAAGGCAGAGTTTAAACGTTTTGGTTAGCGTTTTTTAGCAAGTTAGTTATCTACGGGATGGAGTCGCTAACCCTATGCCCAACCCTCACCCTTTATTCGTACTCGGGATCGGTAGTAGCCCCAGGGGTGTGCCAGGCGTTTTTGACACAACTAAATCGTAGGTTTCAATACCGATTCAACATTTACTTAGGTATAAGTAGGTATGTGGTGTCACCAGTCTAATAGTTAGACACTTCGGGTGACAGCATGGCTCACAACGGGCCACGTGTATTAATTCATTTATCTCCTTTTAAATCTTGAGTTTTAAAATTATTTCATACCTTACATTCTGAGGATTAACTTTTCCTTTAATCATATTGTGTATGTCTGATCTTTATTGTCACTGATACTACTACTAATACTACTTTGTATCATCAGTAGGAGAGGTTTGGAGTTATCCTGTTGAATGTATTAGGGACTGGATCTTTATCGATCTTTGTTGACATGTAAATATCCTGTGATGACTGACTTAATACAGTCACTATATTACAACTTATTGTGATAACCACAATTTATGGATTCTAAACACTTCTACCTTGGTGTTGATCTCACACTGTGCTGATGTGCAATGTGGACAAATTGGATAGATGGACATATGTAACCAGTTCTACGTTGCTTTTGACTAATAATGGATTTAAAACAACACTGAAACCTACAAAGACACAAAATATGGAATCAAGCGGTTAATAGCTGATGACTTATGAGCTTTCTCTTAGCAGTTGTATCAAATTAACAATCAATTTACTCACTAATGCTTGTGCAGATAAACAAGGCCAACATGCATAACTCCCATCAATTATGGTTGTTGATTGAGAATTATCATCATTTTTTTGACCAGAATAAAATGGATTCTGTAAACGACTAGTCACAAATGGTTGATTGATGTATGACCTTAGGAAAAGATTAAAATACACACTAATAATATATTTTGACATTATGAAAAAACTGACGATAGAAATGACAGTGATTATATGTCTACGTCAGGAAGGAGAATACACACAAGTAATATGGAACCTGGGATATTTGTGAATCAGTTCAAGTTGCTACACCATATCAGGACAGAAAAAGATCGTTACAAATCCTAGAATAGAAGTAATAACAGTCTCGGTAGGGACAATAAAAAAAACATAGCGAACAGAGATGATTCCGTAAAAGTGAATTCAGGAAATAAAAAACAACGCCATATATGTGAATACATATATGGCATTGTGACTGAGTCTCAACAATATAACGCCACATCCCCAACCATTGGTTACGACAGCCACCCGAATCTACATCACATCAGTTCGATGGTCAATGACTACATTTACTGTTGTCACGTCTTGATAGCCCCTATCTTCTTCCCAACCTACTTCTATATTTATAAACAACATACGACAAGTTAGGTAGCGGATACACATACGTAATGGATGTTTAGACCACCTCAGTTGATCAAGATTCACTACCTCATCAATCTATTTGCCACCCTCACTTACTACCCCGAGTTTAACCTCGGCATTGCTCAATTAGTGGTCCCGAAATGCACGAGTCATGCTTCAAAGATACCTATGACCGAATACTAATAGCCTACGAATATGGTTTATTCCTTTAAAGGATACTTTATAACCATAAAATAGAACAGAACAAACTACTGCTCACTAAACTCAACCTTTGATAAATGAGAAAAGATTAGTGGATTAATAAACAACGAAATAACACAATTCATTTCAACCACTAATAATTATAAACTATTATACTTAAAAAAAACACCCTTTAAAATTACAATGATAAAAATAAGTAGACTGAGAAAAGTAATTAGAAATAGGAAGGTCAATTGATTTGTGAGGATTGTTTGAATCACAAATATTCAGTTTGTTTTGGCCAGTGTGCAGCCAGTGTGGATAGCCTCGATATTACTATTAAGTATAGTTGGATTGTCGTTAACAGTGGATTGCAGTATGGCCGTCCTGTCGTACTTGTGACTTGTCGACTGGATACACCTGTAATCCAATACTGATGTTCACATGGGGACTCAAGTCAAGCATGTTTCTCTTTAAACGCCTAACGTGTTATCAACTTAGCTATTGAGTCCAAATAACCACTGACTTATCATTAACATTAGCATGAAAATTTAAACAACCTCCACAAATGAATTAAAATCCATTCCTGTTGCACAAGTCAAGTTGTTGTAAGAACTCAGTAGCTCAGTAGATGACGCGACGGGTGTTTGAAAGGATAGACATTGGATCCGAGTCTCGATATGCACATGGACACTGAGGTATCCATATATTCTAGCCAATATCCAATTATACGTACAAAAAAGTCAAGTTTGAAATAATTTCTACCCAACAATGCTATAAAATACCTGTTTTACGCTAAAAATCGGTTTGCTCAAATTATATCCTTTACAGATTGAGAATAAAAATATATATAACAAGAGTTTTATATCTGATCCTATAAAAACCAAATGTGTATAGGAAAGATGATGAATGTTCAGACAACCGTCATGAATTATTCGTAGATTAGAAAAACAAAAATTAAAACATCTCAACAAGAATGTACAGTTGTAATCTGAAATACGTATGATATGGTAGCAACACAAACCTCATTTGATATGTGTGAGGGCTGTGATACTGCACGGGTGCCCAAACCGAAACAGGTGGTTTTCTTACGGGGCCACACCCGGAGCCTTCGACATGAAGGTCTGATCCGCAAGGCAGTGAAGCAATGTCAGGAGATGCGGTCCCATGGAAGCCGGTGACCAACGATTGGTTCATATGCCATTTGTTCCTTCAGGATACTGGAGCCTATGTGCACCATTGGTTTGGAATCAGGGTTTTCCAACTCCCCTAGGTGAACTCTCCATGTCCACCAACCCGGTTAAAGCGCCGGAAATTGGCTTTCCGTCCTCTCAACTTCGTAAACAACACCCGTGGTGCGAGAAGGCAGTAAGTAAGACTTCCCTGGCAGAGTCTATATACGCGTGGCCACAAACATAACCGACGTCTGGAAGATCATTGGGAAGATTCTTTTCTATATTGCAAATAAAACCACTACAAGATACAAGACAGTAAGATCTATAGCCATAATGTGATAGACTGAACCATGGAATTAAATGACTTATTCATTACTGGTGTTCAATAATCGGTCATTTAGATACACCACTCATATAATCTGTGATAATGAAGAAAACTGTTGTGATGCGCGATGTCTGAAAGCTTATAATGATACGTACTCTTCATGTACACAAGCTCAGTTACCTGAGAGAAAAAACACAAGTGTGGAAGAAAGTTTATCTGGCTAAGCCAAATAGATGGTATATACACTCCTTTCAAAAATTAGGCCTATTCCTTAGAAAGGAAAATCATTTCTCAGCCAATCACATACTCCAAAAAATATTTGGTGATTTTGAATTGATCTACTATATCAACAACTTTCATTGAAAAGTTTACACTATTCACTTAGCAATTAACTTACCATAAAGAATATGTTCTAGATGAAATATCCAATTGTTCTCGTTCTTGTGACGAATTGCCCAAAAATGTACCTTCAAGAAAAAGAAGAAAAAACCAAGAAAAATTAAATTGTAGCATATGATTGTAATCAACCCATGAAATGAGTTACATTAAACTGATAGAATGAGTAAATGAGTATTTCAACGGAGGCTATTCACAGAGATGATACAGAAGGATTGTACATTTAATGAACTGATAAAAATATGAAATAATTTCTTATACTATTCGATATCTGATTCACTATCTCTGTAATTCATAATGAACTGAAGTCGAGGAAATATAGTTTGGTCATATGATCAAACTATAACCAAACACTTGGAAATCTTTAACAACTAGAAACTTTCAGTGACATTTTGAATCATTCAAACATAGATGAGACATTTAAAGTAATTAGTTCATTTGATAAATTTCGATAGTGTAATAAGAAAATGAAGATAAATGTGACGAATATATTTATTGTCACAATTGAGAAGTAGTTTAGAATGAATAAAATTGATGAAACTTCAGTTTCAGAAGGCGTTTTGTGGAGATTGTAGTAAATTCAATAGTTGAGATTATGAGTCGATTGAAGTTAGACCACCATGAAAAACCTAGAGTCACTGAACGGCCGTTTCGTCCTATTGTGGGGCTCCTCAGAAGTGCGCATCCACGACTCTGCCTTGCGGGACTCGGACCCTAGTGCTTTCGCACGCGAGCGCTTAACCACCAGGTCACTGAGCCGGCCGGCATCCAGCGGTGTTAATGTTTAAGTCCAACTAATCCACTAAACGTCAGTTGTTGTTTCTTTAATCGCTCTATTGTTATTTCATGTTGTATCATCTTGACATGCATGTTGTTCTCTTTCATGACCACTTTGTATTTCTGGAACAAAAACTTTAAATTAGCTAACTTAACTGAGTAGCGAGAGGCCTTTCTTATAAACTGTGATCAAATTTTTTAAAGCTTTTATGGCTCGACTACGCATATTTATTGGCTGAAAAGTATAGAAATATCAACTTACAATGGTTAGTAGCTGAATGTAGTGATAAGTTGGCAATAAGAAGACGAACTCACATTCTCTCTAACTTGGTGTAACATTTTATGATATTTACAACTGATTGATCACTGGGTAGTGATCAATGTCATGTGTGTGCAGATCGAATTCTATGGGCAAAATGGCTATGTGGCCACTAGTCTAGGTGACTCAACATCGCGTGCACTATGTTGAGGCGAGAAGGTGGGTTTCCTGTCGAATAACTAACCACGATCTCATTTTATGATACTAATTTTGTTCCCAAAAACGATGGAAGTGGATAGGACATACATTGCAAAAATCACCAAACTGCATCACGAGGCAAGCCCTAACTTGGAATCCAGATGGGGAAACGGAAAAGAAAACGACCAAAGAACTCACTGTGCTGAGAATTCGAAGCAGACATCAAAAGGATGAATAGCAACTAAAAATAACTGGAAAGGGTTGCTTAGAACAGAGCTGGATATAGAATGCTGGCACAAGACCTATCCTTCTCCACGAGAGGTAACAGGAGTAAATCAGTAGTAAGAAAAGTAACTGCTGGGAACTATTTGTGAACTATTATTGCATATATTTCTATTAGATAGCTATCCACTAACCAGATTATATGTATATTTATATTCATTTTATGATAAACTTGACTAGCATTCTTAAGTTATTCCCAATCCATTAGTTACAGTCTTTACGCTCACAGCCCCTTTTTGGTTTGATCTTATACAATTATTTTTTTATTCTATGGTGCGATGAGGTCTGATCTGCTTATATATACAGTGAATATTTCTGAAATATACGATTTATACACCGAAGGATGATATCTGTGTTCTGGATTCGATTAACAGGGCTATGCGAGAAGTTACTATGTTAATGACCAATAAGGATTTAGAGTCGATACAAAGCTGCTAGTGCTGGTTGACGTGTCATTGGTTTAACACAAGAACAGTGTCATATAAGTCGGTATTCTGATCGCTGATTTTGTCACATGATAATTGGAAGGAGTAAAAGTCATAACAACACTATTTTATATTAATTGTGTGTAAATGTTGTTCACTGTGATAGATGTGAACATTTGAGGACATGTGTTTTGAGAGCCAGTAAAACTTCACTTGTATTCCCGTTTTCAAGTATAAACAGTAGAACCGCGGATACACAAAGAACCAACAGATAGATAAACTAGGTGACGCTAGATGTAACACATAGACGTATAATTAAGGTTCGACTAATTCAAAGTGATGAGCGTATTTGCATACGCTGTGATTCATCATCGTTTCCTTAGATATTTTCATATATAGGCAAAAGATTTGTTCAGTTCATTTAGATCAAAATCAGATGATGGAACATGTAGTTAATTACATTATTTGCACTGACATTTATATACACCGGTGTACACAATACCTAAGATTGACAAGGTGAAAGATCATGTTCATCATCTGAAGTTCAACTAAACATAATCCATTAAAATATATTAAACCTAAAATAACATTACCAATTCTTACAATCAATATATCAACAATAGTAATGTAACTAATACTCACCATATTCAGAGAAATAAGCATGTTTTGCAATAATACAAAGCAGTTCATCAGTGAATTCAAATGAATTCGGATATTGACGAAATAACTAAAGAAAAACAAAATGAGAAGAAAAAAAGAGTCAGTAGATGAGTATATACCAATAACATTATTCATCATAAGGAAACAAAAGATAGTTTGATCAGAACGACATTTCTCAGTCAGTCAGCTACAACGTAGGACCAAGCACATATATGCATCGGTCTAAGTTGCCATGCCTCATTAACACAACAAGATGAACACCGGATTCATAAAAGTAGTTAATTCAAAGGTGGTAATATATAAAAGAAAGATTATATATAAGGATATAGTACATGAAGAAAAAATTAGTTCGTAGAAAGAAAGATATGAAGCGATTTTAATCTCTTAGTTTGAGGGAAGATGCATAGTGTATACACCTATGCCACTGTTATCGATTCTGAGCCATGTCACCAAGAGTCTCTGACCATTGGTTAGGATAGCCACGCGGACCCCAACCAAGTAGTCAGTATCTCATAATTAACTAGTATAAATGTTGATAGAAACCCACTCATCACGTACAGATCCATAGGATTTGGCTTGAAGTTACAATGTGAATATGAGGACTAGTGATAGTACACGAATCTTCAAACCGATATATTTGTTTATTTAAACACATAAAGATTGGTATGAGAATGCACCAAATATATATGTACCACACTTTATCATTCAATTTATGCGAGGGCCGGAATACTGTCCAGGAGCCCGAATCGAGAAAGGGGATTTCCTTAGGGGGCGAAAACCGGAGCCTTTGACCTAAAAGTCTAATCCACAAGGCAGTAGAGTAATGTTAGGGGATGCAGTCCCGATTGTTGCTAAGTTTTTAACATTAGACACAAGTATCAATTGTCATTTATGTAATCTTATGTTTTAATCACCCTTTATGTTATTAATACAAGAATTCTTTCTCTTTCCAAACATACACACGAGTTAATTACTGCAGATATCTCACAAGTTCAAGTTAGTAACTAATTTATGCATTATTCTTTATTTTAGATAATTGTTGTTTCTTTTTTAACTTTGGTTTCACATTTATCTTGATCCTATAATTGACCGCTTCGATAGAATTAATAAATAAGATTGAGTTAAGACTAGATTTAGAATTGGGGTTATGATTATGATTAAAAGTAAGAGTTACTGGTGCAACACATAGAGCAAATTCAATTTTATCAAAAAATCTTTTCAAAATAAAAAAAACGCACCTACTTGCCAAACACAATCCAAAAATAGAATAAACACTGGACTCTCATCTTTTGGTGGTTTAAGAGAGAAAGCGGAATTTTGACAACGATCTGAAAATGGATGTCCAGCGTTTAACCATGTATGGTCGATAAGTTCTTGAAATCTAAATAGTTGTGAACGCAACAAGATTAAACGAAAAAAGATGACAGTTAATCAAAATGAATTAGTATTTGAAGTTTTATATCACGAACCAGACTTCATTAGACCACAAATAAAAAGCAGGAAGTATTAGATACCTGGTACATCCTAGTACGGGACTAATCAGTAATGTATATCCACGATCTCACAAGGATTCAAATGATAGTCACGTAATATCATGAATATACTTAAGTTAAAAATGTAAACCAATATATGACGACTAAGTGATCTGGAGGTTAAGCGACTCCACTAGTCTTGAAGATCCTAGGTCCTAACCCAGGTGAGGTCAAAGAGTCAGTCCCGTACTAAGACGAAACAGGTGTTTAGTGAACTAAGTTTTTCAGTTGATTGTTTTAATCACAGCATCATAAATCCATATGGTATACCTTAGCTGTTTCATCCTCAGTGGTGGTCACCAAAGACTCCCAAAACGAACAAACCTACAAAATTCATGTCTCATGGTTAGAACATTAGGTCATACAGATGCAATAGTCATATGTGCTGTAGAACCTAGAAAATCGCGTTGTTGATTCAATGGTAGAATGTTTGCCTACCACGCGAGTGCTCCAGGTATACAGCCACTTCCAGGTAAGACCTATTCACTGTTTTCTCGCACCACGGGGGTTGTTTACGAAACTGAGAAGACGAAAAGCGAATATCTGGTGCTTTAATCGGGTTGGGGTACAGAGTGTCCACCTAAGAAAGTTTTAAAACCCTGATTCTAAGCCAATGGTGCATATGGGGTCCAGAATCCTGAAGGAACAAATGGCATATGAACCAATCGTTGGTCACCGACTACCATGTAACTGGATCTCCAGACATTATTTCACTGCCTTGTGGATCAGACCCTTAGGTCGAAGGCTTCAGGTGAGGCCTCCTAAGAAAACCACCTGTTTCGCTCTAGGCACCCGGGCAGTATCAAGTGACTTGTGTGGTGCATATGTATTTGATGCCCCTTTGTACGAATATTTATGTGTTCAAATAAATAATAAAATAAGATAAACCTAGAAATATTTGTACATTGGTTCAAGTTAAAATACCTCATTGGCGCAACGAAACGAAAGTGTTAGTGCAAATTTCAAAATAGCGATAACTGGAAGATGTTAACAATAACTACTATAATCGACCACGATTGTTACCGAATTTATGTGTATCAAGAATGTTTCCTTCAACAGAAACCTATCACTGTTTCTCCTTGAGAAACAGTGAACAGACAACCAATCGTTGATTTGTACTTGTTTGTAAGAGTCTTCCCGTTAATGATGCTAGGAGTTAAATTTTAATTATTCTCTTTTTCTAATACATGCAAAATGGGTGAATTACATCGATATTAGCATTAAATTATATTTTTTATATAAAGTTGGAAAATGGTTGCGTTTCGTCCTAATAAGGACCCGTCAGTTAAACGTATGAACATTCCAGCCCCGATGTATGAAACAGGACTCGAACCCAGCACCTTTCGTTTCGAATGTCCATCGCGTTATTCGGGGAGCTACTACTAATCCCACAGAGTCATTGGCTTGTGCAACGAGGGTTGAACTTATCAATAGTTGATTTTTTTAGAAAAGCTGTAATTTTATACTGCCAATTACAATTCAATATTTCCCATTAATTGATGAAAAACCAAAGATCTAAAAAACTACTGTCTAACTATCTCTAACTCAGAGACAATACAGTGAATGGATTTCGATGTTGGTTGGAGGTAGTCAACAGGAAACCCTGGCCCCGGGTTTCGTGCTACTTGGCACTCGTCAGCAAGGTGTACCTGTAATCTTGGGGGAACTGGTGCTCCCTGGCGGATTCGATCTCGTGACTGGTGGCCACATTGCAACATGATCGATAGCATTCGATCTGCACTAATAAGGACTAGACAAGCATGACATTGATCACCACCCAGTGGTCAATCAATTGTGATTACAGTGAATGGATTTTTTCAAACAACTTTTACATAAAATAGCTGACGTTTTGTACTGAACAGATACTTCAACTTCTCGAGACTGTTATGATATAAAGGCCACTACCAACTTGTGCTATCAGTAGGAAGAATGAAACTTGTATATACTGAACTGAAAATTAATGTAAACTAGGGATAGTGAATTCTTTCCAGCTGTTACAATTCACAGAGAATAGTATAAACTGAAAATTATACTGTAAACAGTACTACGAGAACAACCCATCCAAATAAGCTAACCCCAATTACCCCTGTATAGTTCTAGACTCAGGATTTAATATGATTTGAATCAAACTAGCCACGAGAATAGCTCGATCAGTTCCTTTTCGACTTTGCACTAATACACATGATCCACGTAATTTTGCCTCTTCGAAACTTTGCTCCTTTGATGCTCTTCTCTGTTTTTCGGCTAACAAGCATTGTTCTTGTTGAAGTTGTTGTTGAGCGAATGCATCCAAAGCGTCCAAAGCTGTTGCTCCAGCAACAGCAGCTGCTAACGATTCACGAACTAATGATAACCAAGCTGAAAGTTTTTTTGATTTCTTTACATTATTATTACTACTACTTAAATCAGATTCAGTAGTTGAATTGGTAGACTGAATATCTAATTGAGCGAAATTCGAGATCAATTCACTTTTACTCGATGTATTTGTTTGTTCACGAACAGTGATATCATTAAATGAATTGACTGAATTATCACATGGGACTGATGCAGCCGTGGAGTTACGTGATCCAAAACTTCCTATTGGATTCAATGCGGCACTAGACAACATTCCAATAGAATCACTAATTCCGGATTGAAGTGCACCAAATGTTGTGTTGCTTGAAGATCGAGTTACACGACCATATGATGTACAAGCTTTTATTGATTAGAATAAAACAGAATAGTTTAAACACTATCAAGGTGTTTTATAACTTTAAAAACTATAATAATATTTTAAGATTAGTCAATAAAGAAGGCATGTGTTGTTCACACGCTCAACAAACAACAACATTTCGTTCAATGTATATTGATTTCTGGGATATAAAAAATGTCTTGAAAGGTAAAAATATTTCATGACTAAGGAGAACATCTAACTGTGGTCAGTTGTACAGTCGAAATCGAGACTAGAAAATTTTATCGATTATTTCGGTTGGGAGATGTGTTACATTCCCCTATGAACACTAAAGAATTGCGTAGGCTGTAGGATTTTTTAATCATTATTGTCTTAGAAGCTATGCTCACGAATCATCGAACAACTGCATTAACAATTCTGAGGTTGTGTATAGAGTACTAGGCAAACAGATAAGTTTGCTTATGAAATTGTAAATTTATATCAACTGTGGTTGGGACATGTTATAGATATCCCCAACCACTGCCTACCTCGACGAATGATGTTGTCTGGTATAGGAATAGATTGGGAAAAAGCTATTAACTGAACAAACTAAAACGTGACATCAGTCCATGAAGTCGTTGACAGTTGATCTGAATCATATAGATATGTGCAGACCACCTGGTAGTGATCTATGTGATGATCTCGATTAGTAATTAGCGACGTTTGGTGACACGGCTGAAAATCAGTAACAGTGGGGCAGATGGATGCACTCCTTATCTTCCTATGAATCTTCGGGCTCAGTATTCTTCATGCATATCGTTTCATTTCGTCTCGTAGAATAATGTTCTCAACGTTAATTGTTTCTCACCATCCTAGCAGTAGTAGAGTAGTACAGTTGTTAAGTCCAAAATTTTATAGAGCGTTAGTCAAACTTAAGCTTAGTTGTCACAATTATTCCCAGACAGAATCAGTAAAACAACAATTTGCCAAGGAAGAAAAAATTAATGGTCAAAACACATATAAATACATAAACGAATTTAAAAAAGCATCTTACCATTAATGAATTTCCTGAAAGTGACAATCAAGTTACCCGTAGATTCTAAAGGTCTACAAACTCGTCTCCATTGTGGATAATACTGTTCAAATTCAACAAGACCACCTGGGAAGGAGAAAAAGGGTTAAAAGAGGTCATGTGAGAGCATTTCGAAAAGGAAAGCGGACTCTCCACTCTCAGTCCTACCAGGGCATTTACGGGTGTTAAAAAGAATAACAACGGACAAAATAATTGATAGATTGAGCCAGTCAAAAATCGACCAGATGACAAATGCACGTGATTGATCAAGGAATGGCTTTCATTTCTAAGGAATAAGATTCACCATTAATGGTTTAATTTTCTAAGGAACAAAGAGATATATCTATGAATGAGTATACATATATGCCCATTCAGTCTATTCAATAAACTTTCTCGTTCTCAGTTGTTTTTTTACTCGAATAACCGGTTGGGTTCATGTATATTAGTTTGACTGTATAATAGTATCAACTCTTGAAAACTGCATAATATCACAACAATAATAACAACAACAACAATATAACTCACTTGTTGCTTGAGGTTTTTTTGTTTCATTCTGTGTTCTTAAATCCAATATAACACCTCTACATTTATCTGGTAATATACAAGTAAGTAATTGTTCATCTGAACGACATCTACCAGTATTGGATGTTGAACTAAATGGTGATATAGAATTTTTTGAAGATGAATTAATAATTAGATTATTCGATTTTGCTGATGAAGTTAAACTAGAATTAGATGATGATGATGATAATAAAGTTGTAGTATTTTGATTGTTGGTAATTGTGGATTGATTAATTAATGGTTCAGCAGTTATTAATAAAGTAGTCTAAAAAATAGATTAGAAAAAGAGGTAACAAATGATTGAAATCAAGTATAAAAGTTATTCAGTGGAACCAAACGTCTATATACAGATAATTCACACATACTAACGGAAGAATTGAATTGAGGATTAAGAGACCCAGGACATAGCGACCGAAAGCTAAACACCTTTACCACTAAAACAATACTCTGAGTTGTAGATAGTAGTGTTTAACAATTTAGTGGTTCCCCAGAGTCAGTAGTTTAATAGATAACATATTAGTACTTGAAGTGACACCCACCGGATTCAAGGTCTAATACAATTACCAACAATATTAGAAAGCAGATATGTTGAAGTGATGAGTACAGAATAAGACATTCTCGAGTCCACTACATAAAAGATAAACTCTAATTTAAATCCATAAAGAAATTTACTAACCAATAGTGTTAGAGAAAAAGAGGTAACAAGTGATTGGAATCAAGTATTAAAATCATTCAGTGGAACCGAACGTTTATATACAGATATGTCACACATGCTAACGGAAGAAAATACAATTTATTATGGAAAGTCAAAACTTTATGGACCGTTCTTCTAATAGATAAATTAAATTATTGATACTGTTAATTATGGACAATTATCAACCTACTACGATTTCTTGTGTAATTCGATCAGAGGATTTATTATCTGAATGATTAATGATAAATTTTATTTCGAATAACCTGTCTATGTATATCATTTCGCCAAATTATTTGGTCTAGATGTGAGTTACAGGTGAAGGTTTTTTACGCCTGAGAACGAAGGTCCTAGGTTTGATTTCCGCTTGTGTGGTTGTCAATGAGTACTGCCAAGGAGTCTCATATCATGATGAAACGGTCATCGAGTACTGCCAAGTGATGGTTGTCTAACATATGCCAGTTCGTGATTTCAATCATAATATTTTAAGTTGAGAAAAATGTACGAAAATCTCCCAAGAGTTGTTGAAACTGAACTGAAAGCTAAGTAAGATTGGGCGTCTCTCATAAATCCGATTTTTTTCTAAGATATTCACTAGTGACGAATCATAGTTCAACGAGCATAATACCAAGATTGACTTTAGAAAACATTCGAAGCAATAGAAACAGACAGAACAAGTTTATTGTCACAAACGAGAAGTATTCTGAAGAAGATTAGATTGAAGTACTCCAAATTTCATAGAAATTACCCCAACTTGGATATTCATTAAATGAACTATGTAAGTGATAATAAGATACTTGAACTACTGACTGGGAGCTATACAAGAATGTACAAGTTGAAAAAAAAACATCTACAAAAAATACTAAGTGTACTACTATAATAAGAATGATAAACGCTCGCTTATTTCAATGCTAAAACAGATCATTCATTGACATTTCAAAGCTATATCATTGAATACTACCTAGAGGAATAACAACAAAAAAGGTTATATATAGCTTCGAAAGAAGTCATATGGCAAGTGGACTATTCAAAGCGCACTGTAATGATGCTATCAACACATGAATGATAATGGAAAATAAGTATTCTTATATCATGAGTTTATTAAAGACGAAAACAACAATCCTAACTAAAATTGAACTTTGTTCACGAAGACATTATAGATCCCAATAGTAGGGTTAATACACTGGAACTATACATTAAGCAATCCTATAATAAACTGTACAAAATATAAAATGTGACCTCGTGACAGACATAAGGAGAAGTAGACTGGTGAACGAATCACTTGAACCAGTTCACCGAAAACCCAAATTACTTTACTTATTTCGGTTTATGGAAGCAGTGAGTAGTATCTCTATAGGTTTCCAACATACAACAACAATGTGGATCAAAGCCGAATACCTAGAAAAAAGAAATTCATACTTAGTAAATGAATTATAACACTAAGTTACAACTAACAAAGAATTAAAATATGTACATAACTGGCTCATACTTGTCTTGGCTTATGATAGTAGACCAGTAGAGGAAAACGACCACCATGACGAAATCGGCTACTTTCTATAATCATTTGATCATCACATTTAACAGGTACAACAAATGTTTTCGGATAAGAATTGCACAACTAGAACGGGAAAGATGAATAAAATGAATGCAAAGCGCTTATGGAAATAATAATATATGTAGTTCGCATCACAAACAGACTTTAAATAGAGCATTAGTGAAAACCATGAAGCACTGAATGACTGGTTCGTCACACGATTGAACTCTTCAGTAGTGCGCGTAGGCAACCGTAGACGAATCAAACTTCCTGGCTTCGCGTAGAATGCCTAATCTTTAGACTATTGAGTTACCAAGCAATGGTTCACACTAGTAACTTCATTGCCCGACTGTAGATGCTAGCTTGACGAAGTGGCCAGGCCCGTCTATCATAACAACATGATCGAACTATATTGCTTGAGACAACTTTTTTAAGCCCAACCACTCCAGGTAGATCAATGGGAAAGCAGTAAGAATAGAAGTAACAAAGGCCTAAAAACGAGGTCGTACTGTCGTTTGAACAGCGATGTAATAGCAGCAGTGTTCATCCAGACAACCAGCATCTGAAATGATACTGCCTTCTCACAAAGTGAAAATGGGTTAGAAAAGGTTAATCCCAAGGACAGCATACATTACTTTGCCCCATGAATTCCCGCTGCCAACACCAGGGGCTGTAAGTAAAGAGCAAGCTTACCTAAGACTATTCACAAAAAAGCTGCTTGTGATTGTGGTCAAACGGTTGTCTCTTAAACTTCGTGGTCACGATACCGAATTGTCAAGAACATTGCTAATTCAGTTTCTTTTTAGGTCCCCCAAATTGAGTGTCAATACAATATTCGACTCAGCCAGTCAGTCGTAGCCAATGTAGAGTCTAAGTCGTTGAGTTTCGTACAGACTCTACCAATCAGCCACTCACTGAAGAAATAACTCCCTACAGAGCATTCAACTAAGCACAAAAAACTGTCCTAATACTATACACATAATACAATATTAAGAAAATACTTCACAGTAAGATGTAGTACAAAGAAAACAAAATACTACTTACTAAATAATTCTCATTTAATTGGCTTCTACGCCAACTCCCACCAGACAAGATGTCGTCGATATTATTAGGCCAATCAGTGGTTTTTATTGCGGGTAAAAGTGACAATTGGTTGGATTTATAAGAGAATGGGTAAAGCAATGTTACGTCATCTATCAGAAAAAATATAAGGGATAGAAAACCTTTAAAAACAATTACAGATTAATCTAAGATGGTGGATGGAGATAGTCAACACTAAAAAATATCTGCAATCACAAATCCACTTGTTTAACATATACAACAATCAACACCAATCATTTAAGCCACAGTGAAACAATCTTCAACTACTGATAATCGTTATGCTCTCCACTTATACGGCCTAGCTCTTCTTATCTCTAGCGCTGATTGGCTAAGAGATGGACAATCAGCGTGCCCTAACATAATCCTACACGGAACGTGTTTTAATTAAGTCTATATTTCGCTGACAATAATCGAGACTGATAAGCAGTAGTTTAAAAGCAACGAACACAATTATTGATATATCAGGAGGACTACTAAGATCCGATAGCACCACAGTGCAAATAATACCGAGGTTCAGTAACGTGTTCAAGTGAAGTAAATATAATTTAACTGATATCACGGAAAGATCGTCGTATTATGAAGTAGGGTAGTGGGACGAGAGATAGTTGTATAAAACTAAGTTCATAAAAACTCCCTGGTTCCAGTGGTAGAGCTTAAAACATTATCAAACACGACTTAGAATGGAAGCAAGTGATGACTTCACTACAGTTTTCTATCACATTCTTCGTAAAATAATTTGAACTTCCCTAACAGAATAACATCTGTTTTGGTATCTTGTGGTATGCTAACAGGTACAGACTACCTAGTTGGGGTCAGCTTGATCAATGAAATCAATCGGTGAAGATGTTAGGTAATATGGCTCAGAATCTGTCACAAAAGCCTAGATGTAGTCATTTTTAGTACTACTACTACTGGTAATTCTACTACCCAAACATTTTTTCGTTATTTTTCTCGCTGTTCTGATATGATGAGGCAAGTTGAACCACTATATATATGCGGCAGATTATAGGTGGCGTACGACTGTTTCGTTCATTACATGTCATTTATATTCATTTATAAGTTAATATGGTTTCGTTCCATTTTTCTGTGTTTTGTTCAACCAATAGTTTAATAAGTTATAAATGAAATAAAATAAAACACAGAGAGCTAAAGAAAAATTCAAAAAGAATTATTAATAAAAACATAAGTAGTTGAGGTCATAAATAAGAAGAAAAATACTTACCAATTGAGGATACTCCCTCTAATGACTGTTCAAGAGAACGAGCAACAGAAAGACTGCTAACAGTTAATTCATAAATATGAAAATCTTTTGTATACAAAACAATCGTATATCCAGTTAATATGGATGGTGTGAATCGACGTTCAGTAGGTGATTCGCACAAGCGAAACCCGTCAATTGCTCTGTACATAATCTTTACGAAATAAAGGAAGAATTATAAGCAAGTCAAAAGATAATGAGAAGTAATTACTTGGAGAAAAATGATAAATCATATAAACAATGAGCAATAGAGCATAATTCAGATCATAGACGTATATTATGCTAGAATTTACCGATTTCAATGCACTGTATACAAATCATTCGACGCAGACAATGCTTTGCAGATATATATATAATCAAGTGCCAAGTGTCACCTAACTATAAAGGTCATGTTTCACAGCCACAAAGCAATGGATGGACTTCAGGTCAGAATACACACTGGTCGACCGACAAACACATCATCTACATCACAGGTAACACGTTTACAAAACCCAAATGAGGTAGAACAACAGTACCGAGAATTCATCGGCCTCCAAGGTCTGTAAGACTTACAAGATAAGTCAAGTGGTTATGTTCAATAGTTCACCATCCTACTGTTAAACTACTCAGTGACACACATTAGGCCTTGGACGATATTTTGCACTTAAACAGAAAAACTTACATGGAGACGACTCTAACGACAACTGCGATATACAACAGCTCTACTAACCATAGTTCCCCGGAGACCTGAAAGATTAATCTTGTTTAGATTTATTGAACGAAACTAAAGAGTGGTTGAATTTACATTCAAGTTAAATCAGTTATATATTAATTGAGTGATAACTAATTACACAGTTTTACTAACTGAGTAATTGCCAGTACATACAAATCTATAATGAAGTGCCCAGTACAAGGAAAATGCATTGAAAATCAAGTAACTAAATAAAATTGACATACAATGAAAATTAATGACAACAATTCATGAAAATGCGTTGAGTTTACGGAGTGAAAATTGCCTTAAGATTAGTTTCCTTTTGCAAACGTATTTGGTTATACAGTATCTTTTGTTTTTGTATCAAGTCGTTTGGCATCGAATGCCCGTCGTCTTCACCGAAAATCTGGCTCTCGTGTTCATAGTGCTTTAATTTATTCATGAGTGTTGGGCAAAATATCTAGTTGCATTCTTATGATAGTAGTGGAATTAGTAGTTCTTCTACATGACTGATCTAAAATATCGAATGAATTTGCCTTTCCTACAGACGACTTAAATAACACTCCCTACATTTTCGTTATGTTTCATTCTATCCATCGGCGAAGATTAGTCCGACAATCCTGTACAAACACTGAGGTCGTAATTTGGAATTCTGGGGGATATGCTTTACTTTCAGACGATCTCCGTGACGGCATGACATGGTAGGTTGTTCTAACCACGAGTCCTAAGTAAAGCAGGAATAATCCACATCCCTTTATTTTTCAGAGACATCATCTAAGATGCAACACACGTCGTTGAAATTTTGAAGCAGTAAGTTCAGAAAGAAGTGGCATAGATTTACCAATGGCTGTAATAATTTTATCCATATATTCAAGGTTCTTATTGGATAGCTCTACACATTAATTAATTAATTTCTTCACTACATAAGTAACCCGAGGTAGTGATAGACATGACTACTGATGAGTCGCAGTTCAACATTGGTACATATTCTCAGAGTACTCCTAGAATCTTCATGTAAATCAAGCGCCGATTCTAAAATGAAGTTAATTAAAGCCTATTAGAAGTGGAACTAATGTTGAGTAAATTATGTGTGAAATTGTCTCTAGTCCTAAAGGTTCACTAAACTGCATGACATTTCATCAACCCTTGTAACTGTCGTATCCGACTTGCCTGACGACGTCCATTTCTAAAAAAATGCAACAGTCAATAGCGTGTCTAACAATCTGCGTGCAGGATTATCGCAGTTCCACTTCTTTCTGTCAACTGAAGAGGAACTATAAGGGTTGAAGATATATCTTCAACAAGACTCTGTTAGTTCAAAGAAATCGTTATTCTACTTCAAACTGGGGAAAATTATTCCCCATAATGACAACAGGGATACGAGACCTAGAGGTAGATATTTATGAGATTTCTTACGCTGAAATCGGAAAGGATTAACGTCAACATTCATATTAGGATCTGTCTTATTGAGACAAATAAGATGTAAGTGCTAAAAGTCTACAATGAAGTAGTATTTTGTTTGAAAAAAGACAAAAAATAAAAAAATTTAAAATAAACCACAGATTTCCGTAGATAATCATGTCAATTACGACGGAAACGTGTAGCTTTGACGCTGATTTAAACAATATGTTTGCAAACTGAAACTAAAATTTGTGTTAATCAATGTCATTCGGTACGAGATCCATTCCCTAAACAGGTTAACTGAATACAAACGTTAATTTCCCCAGCGAAGTAGGTGCGAGAGTAGTTATTTGCTCTTCAAACTAATTAAAGCTGTTTTAGGTCAAACGTAGACTATTTGGCCGAAGTGAAGCTATTTTGTGTAGACGTAGGATAAAAGTAGACTGTCTTAAAAATAACGAGGAGCAAATAACCTAGTGCAGATTTGAGAGGGAAGACTACTTGAAGTAAACAAGTGCTTTCGGGTGTTTTTAACCGGAAGTACTTGTAGGGAAATTCTCACTGTTTGCCAGAGCAGGTGATGAAGGCGACATTCTGGAGCCTTTTGTCTCAGATTCGCATAAAAATGTTTATAGAATGCCGTTTCTATTTGCTTGGGTGAAGTTGGAAAATATTTTTCATACAAGCACATCAAACTTTTACATAAAGTTCCGTCATCACACTGTATGGTGTTTAGTTCGACATAAACAAGTAATGATTCAACATTTTTAAAACATGTTTCAGTTTCTCACTTCAACACTTGAAACGCTAACCTACCATAACGTCAGAATCGCGCAACTGAAATGTGAGGTGGTGTGGACCGAAGGTTAGTCGTTTGGATCCTAAAGACTGAGTTGGTGTAAACACGCGCACATCCTCGAAACTAAGCATATTGAGATACGCTTAAGTAACCTTGAAAAACTGATTTGCCCGCGTGCCAAAATCCAGTATCCAATATCTCTAGGACGAGATTGTATGAACCGATTAATTTCTTTACGATTGTTTTTCTGTTGCATTAGTACAGATTAAATTTCTTATTGTTATCCAATGATCAGAATACTAACAACCCTTAGCCATCACATTGCCAGGCAAGTGCGTGATCCACCTCAATTTAAAAAATAATAAAGTGATAACACAAATGCTATGAGAAGACGATTTTTTCAAGCAATAAGTACATAAATAGGTTAATTAATTGTTAAAGAGGACAGTACAAGGAGACAAAAATGTACGGACAAAAGAGAGACTTGAAATATAGAAATCAGGTGGGGAAAAAGTTGATTATATGTGGTGGATATAACAGCGGATTGGCTAGGAGTAATAGATCAGGTATTGTTAACCCATGTGGAAGATGATAATACATATATGTCTTTCCAGTCTCCTCTTAGGACTAACTAATAAAAGCGGTGCAGTCACTTCGGACGGGAAAGATTTTCAGTTAGGGGTATTTAGTGATCAGGAAAAGTGGGACAGTTATGAGATTAACTGCATGGAGTATCAGTTTGAATAATTCAACTTCACAACACTTGGTGCGTCTTGGAATTGCATCCGTTACATATACATAATTAATTCATTTTAGTGATCCGATTTTCATGTCCGTGCAATTATTTAGTATGTATGTGTTTACCGTTCTCTTTGTAATTTACTCAGCTTTGTAATGATTGTATAATGAGGCTTCCAACTAGGTGGTAAGTACTACAAAAGGACCACTGAAGACAGATATGCTTGATGAATTCTCGTGGTCGTCAGTTTCTGTCTCTCAGTGTTTATGGGTTCTTACAACCATTACCAGTTTATTTGTCGTTGATGTATCTCACCTGAGAACGAATGGGAACACAAACACTCGACACAGTCGCGCCAAGAAAAATTCGAGGTAATTCGAAACTCATTCGTTTCACTTACTACTTTTTTTTCTCTCTCTCCTTTACATATCAATTCGTCCTCCCATTTATCTCATTTCTATGAACGAATGAAAAGCTTAAGCCGGTAGAGAGGTCTCATTTGACGATATTAGGAATGGTGGATGATTGTATATTCCCATGTGCTCTCTCATCCGATCACTTGAAAGACTTTCGATGATAATGTTAGGAGCCTATCCCAGCTCGGATTCATCATGACTGCCATTCAAAGACTTAAAAAACAGCTCATCTCCCTCCTTTCCTCAGCATTTGAGGTTTCACCGAATAGTGGAACGACTAAGGTACCAATATACGTGCTGATGTCCATTCCTAACGCATTGTTAGAACCTTGTCATCTTTCCACAGTAAAATAGACGGTCTCACACGAACGTTAAGTCTCAGACAGTAGAAAATCAGTGCCTAGATAATTCGCGTCACTTTTGTAAAATATACCATTAAACTTATGTATGTCTTAATCATATTAATGCCATTCTTGTGCAAATAAGGATCCCTAAGAGCACATAGGTTTTTGTCCACATATACGCGTTAAATGGACCCACAAATCTGGTAAATGGGTGACGAAACACAGCTAGATTATAAACGTCAAACCTACCAAAGATGATAATAACGAGAAACTCTACAAACACATATCAGAGAGAGTATTATAATCCACTTCGGTTAATAAAAGTCACAAATAAACTGAGCACAAAACAAGAACTTTCCATTTCGCGTAACACGAAGATATAGAACTAATTGAAACTTAAAAATTGAAATGGACTGAGAAATGCTCAGATTAAAGAGGACAGTAGTATTTTTATTGTTTTGATCATTCATCGCGCGTCAATACTATAGTTGTCGTTTCAACTGAATTTATTTCAGTTGAATTATTCACCAACGGTATCGTTTTTTCAAAAATAAGTTATTACCTGCACTCTTGAGTACATTGGTTCTTTTTGAATTTGTTTGCACTTATGATTCTAACAATCTACAATTTTTCACTTTTTTCTGGTCATCAGTTCATTTTGTCTCTGACTATGGTTCGTGTCTTGCTTATTTTAGAAAAACTGATTATTAAACTGGACAATGCAAAACAGCAAATACCAAAGCTCATTCTTTTGATACCCTGTGGAAACCGGCATTTAATGTGATGAGTGCAAAAGATGATACTGCAAAGTTTGCATTAGTCTTGTAGCGTCATTGGGCCCTAACCACACAATCTTCAAAGGTGAACAGGAGACAACTAAGAAAATAGGCTTTCAACCTTTAACGCGGAGAAAAATCCAACAATGCGGAAGGTTGGAAGAATTGATTAAATAAATTCGAATTGACTGGACGGCATAACTCAACCTCATAAGCATGGTCGCTCGATACAACTCGCCATTACTCATATTAAATAAATTGTTCTATCTCTAGCCAGAATGTGCTTACAATCATATATTAGTAATTGTTGTGACACGATGAATCAGTTTAGAAAATGATGTGAATTCCGCGTAAGATCTAATAGATTAGGCAGTTACATCATGACAAATCTGCAATTTTAAGATTAGGTCTATTATTAAAGCAGTACTTATATCATAGTAAACCATAAATCTATAGTCCGTCGCCCTTGATTTCCAAGCGGTTTAGTAAAAACAGTTGTTTGTGGTTTTGTTAGCAATGCTGCCAGGATGATAACAGCTTTCTTTTCAAAGCCATTGCAATGGTAAATGCTGCGTAAATTAGCATTGGCGAGTGCATTCGAGAGACATCAAAAGGTACTTGCCCGGTCGATATACAAATTACTGTGAAGTTACATCAAACAAGTCGATCGACATACATAGGTCAACGGAGAAAAAACAGAGAACTGTGGGCGAGAATGGTAATGATTGGTTGTCTGCTTAATCAGACATGTAGATAGTCTGACAGGTGTCAAATGAGTGATATATTCCCCTGTCCTTATTATTATTATTATTGTTATTATTACGACTCACTTATTATTGATTGTTCATTGTTGTCGGATTGTGTCGGGTTTTAGTGTGGAAATATATTTACGTTGTGGTCAAGCTAATCACGTGTTCTTGATCTCAGTTGCGTTGACGTCCTGTAGAATGGACACCGGGTGAGAGGAATCTAGTGTAAATAATCGTTTAAGGTAAATTGAGGTCCTATACGTGTAAGCGTGGAAACCCAACCGTTATAAAATTAGACAAAGTAAAATTGAACGTTATAACTGACTGCCAATATAGAGGCCTGTTAGAAACGCAAACCCACGAAAAGACGTTTTTCTTCTGTACTTGCATTGAAAATTTCAGAGAGAAAGAAAACGCTTTAAAAAACCTAGTATCAAAGCAACGCCTGCCTCTAGCACGGCAAACAACAACCTTAAAACTCAAGTCATCAATGATCATCCAGGATCCCAAAGTGTGTGTGTGACTTGTCTGTGATTGCTTCTCTAATTTTAGTTGATGAATAGGTGCAGTCCAAGAAGAAAAAACAACTCAATGTTGTTAAAGAAAAGCTAGTCCTCCAAATAGTGACTGCGAAAATCCCCACTTCAGTTCATTAGAGAGGCCTGCATATCACTCCGTAAGGGCAGAATGTGGGAGAAATTCAGGTTACTGGGTAGTGACCAATATCGTGAAGCTCGGAATACTTCACCACTCCGCAAGTCCAAAAGGTTTTACGAAGAAAAAGTTGGTAAAGAATCTATGGAATACTCTGAACGCTTATGCGCGTATATAAACCAAAGGGCTAAGAAGAGAAGAAATGTTCCATCATTATACGGAGACAGTAGTAATACATGACTAGTGGATAACAATTGTGGGAAATCTTGAGTATCCTAAAACTAGTCCTAACATCATTGGTTTTGTCATGTACTGACGATGTCAAGATATGGGGAGCGATAAAGGGTAAAGGTAATAGTTTGGAGCTTTGAAATGACCTGAAAAAATTATCTTATAAGTCTTAAATTTGGAAGTTGCCCGTAGATGCTTCAAAATCCATTATGATGCATAATGGTCATCGAAGTACAGATATACACGGTTAACAACAATTTTCCAGACATAATGAATTAGAAGTCCTCGTTAACCAATACTTAATAACTAATGCACATTGCCGTTCAACAGTCGCCAAAGGTTTTAGAATCTTATGGTCAATACACATGGCCGTTAATCATGCCGATGATAAAACTTTTTCGACTTCGTATAGAGTATTAGTTCGTCCTAAACTCCAGTACTGCATAAAAACGGCTAGTCCCTGCCTAAAATCTGACAGTGGGCAGTAGAATAACGTTCAAAGAACCGCAACTAAGTCGATTCCCGGATTAGCACAGCTCTTAAATGATGCTCAACTGGCTGAACTCAACCTATTTCGGTTGTCGTATAGAAGTACCAGAGGCGAATTGATCACAGATTTTACATTACTTAGTGATAAACTTGCATCTGATATACCTTCTCGCTTCTTGCCTTCCAAAACAGAGAATTTGCAAGAACATTGCTAAATAGCCTTCAAGCCTAGAACAAATTACTTGTCAGCTGATTACTGAACTTCCCATCGAACCATCGACAAATGGAATTCATTATTTCAACACGTGATTGGAGCTCCATTTGTCGACTCTTTTAAAAAAAAGTTGTATCAAGTGAAAGGCCATCACTGCCAGGACTAACACAGGCCGACTGACCTCCTGTCCTTTACAAAGTGAAACTGCTACGCAACACCTACTTAAGTTTAGCTCCAACACAAACCCAGAAACTAGGGGCAGCACAGCATAACGGACTGCAGACACAACTTATACTCCTTAAGAGTAGCCAAATGCTGGAATTCGCTGCCGGCTAAGCAAGTCCAAGTGACTTACCAGGATTCTTTTAAGAGGAAACTTGACCTATTATTAATGACTAAGGATAATATCTTACTGTGATTTACCTATTACTTTTTCCTCTATTATCATTAATATACCTAGGTTCTTGCATGTAGGTGTCAGTGTTCCACTGCTACTAGACACGGAAGCCCGTTAAGAGAAATCTTCTTTCATTCTCTCCACAACCATTTGAACATCTAGCGATTTAA